TATTGCAAATAATTTGCAATACAAATTTGCAATGCAATGATGATAGGCCATTTACACCGGGTGGCGAATAGCCCTATAGCGATGTTTAGTCGCATCAGACTCCCGTTTTTCGTAGGTTTTTCCTTGCCTCATCATGTCATCATGTCATTTATGTATGTATGTATTCGTTTTCCTTAACGTTGAAGTTAGCAGCGCACAGCAGTGCACTTGTTACCGAAAAGGATTAGTGATTTGTTTACAATGGCGGGCATATGGTTCATTTATCAAGATGCAAATAGTTGGATTAAGTGGTGCCATTTCCAGTTGAAATGCAGATGTATGTTAGTACGTTAGTATTAAAACATTTGGAGTCGCATCCATAAATATACACGAATATATACATATGTATGTACATATTTTAACAATGACTGAGTACGGAAATTAAAATGTGATCTGCCCAACCCACAAGAAAGCGACCTCGGATCCATTTTCGTAATATGACGTACTATAAGGTCTTATCGAACATATTAGGTTTGTTCCACGCGAGACCGCGGGTACCCCAGAAAGCGTTCCTCATGCTAGAAAAATGGGTAAAAGACCGCGAATAGCTCCCACTTTTGGATCGTAAATGTCTTCGTCTTCGTGCCCGAAACAGCTTGGACCAAGGCGCATCAATACAAGGTGGTGTTGATTGATCAGCTGATTGGATATTTTTGTCTCTACACTAGTACAGGAGAATGTCATCCAAGACGAAGCGGCGCAACTTTAGGATGTTAACAAAAGAAAATGATGAAAGTTATCTCATATTCCCTTTCGTTTTGACATCCTCCTGTACCAAAAAGCAATAACAAAATACACGGGACTTTTACTTATATGCAATCAACATCACCTTGTATGGATGCGCCTTGGCTTGGACTTTTTTCCGGGCAGAAATGTGCCAGAAGTCAATTTGAATGAAATTTGAACAGCTGTTGTTTGTTTACATCCGAGACTAAATTTTGTAAAATAAAAAAATGGAAAATAGCACTAAAGTTTCAGAAATGTAAGTATTTGGTAATTTTATTAGCTATATAAGATAAATGCACCTAAAAATCATTGTTGATTTTTTTTTATTCTGGGCACGAAAAGTGGTTTTTCGCACTCCTCACGCTCTGGGCACTTTTGGCACGGGTTGACAAATTTTTGACACTTGTAAGAGAGTAGCTTATTCTTACGCTCTAATTACCGAAACAGCTCGGAAAGCGTGTGGAACAAACTTATTGTATGACTTGGGAAATCCACCATAGACAAGGTATTTACCGTAGGTCAAATAGGTATTTACCTCAGTATATCCAGTAAACAAACTGAGCTGTTTTTTCACCAAGCTTGGTCCCCATAAAAGACTTGGGGTTGCAGATAACGCTTTTTCGGCAATTAGAGTGTTGTGCAGTAATGTAGTGTGGTGAAAAATTTTAGCACCCAATGTATGACATATTAAAGATATTTGATAATACCAATTAATGGTATGGTTTACAAGTCGAAATGATCTAAAAAAATATTTGTAATGCAATAATTTAGTTAAATGTAAACCATATTAAACGTAAAAACACAAATATTTAGATTTACTTCATTTAAATGGTGAAACATGTTTTATAATTGATAGGTCAATCTTCATGCCTTGGCCAAGTAGGAAGTCCAGTGATGACTTCATCCACAAAGTATGTCACTATAAACTTGGTATACGAGTGCACGCCCCCGATTGTTACCTCGCATGGTACTTCTCTTATCACTAGGGCGCGCACACCAGTTGCTGTCTGCAGCTTTGCTCCACATACCGAGTGACCAAACAAGTCGAATAATGGAACGTGACGCTCCAGTATTCACTGTCAGCAATCGCTCTTGCCCATTCACATATCCACCAACAGTAAGATTGCTCGCCTTTCTGCCAATTTGCGATATGGAGATTATGGGGCATTCAATTACAGGAGCCAGCGCGCGCCCCTTCCTGTTGGCCCGTTTTAGTTTAAAGACTGATTGGGTTTGGTTTCGTCTCCTTCAGCCCTGCATTTGCGTGGTGCTGCATTGTTGAGTCCAATGAAACTTGGGCTGCAATCGCGGGCGAAGTAGCCTGGCTTTCCATATTTAAAACATTTGCCAGAGCCATCTTTTTCCGCGCCCAGAAGCTTGATTATCTTCTTCAGCATTTCATTTGTCTCGTCCGGTGTTTTCACTTCCACTCGATGGGCTTTACAAGCTGGTTTACTTAGGAGCACCGCCGTTTCACGTATCTAAGCATACGAGACAGTTTCTGCAAATGTTGGCCTTGGATTCGCATACGCCTCTCGCTTGGTATACATGTCCCTCATTCCGTTGATGAACGTCTGAATTTTTACCCTTTCGATGGGCTCACCAGATACGTCGCCAATTTCCAAGTGGGCCAATCTTCCGATCTCTGAGGCGAATTCCAGTAGAGTCTTATTGGATTTTTGCCAGCGATTCTTCAGATCCATCTGGTAAATCTGTCCGCTGAGTTCGCTACCTTAAGTTATTTCCACGGCGCCCATTAATGCATCGTAACTGTTCCTTTCAACCTCGGGAATAGTCTGCTAAATTTTCGCTGCAGGTCCTTTCATTGCAACGAATAGCACAGTGGATTTATCCTCCATACTCCAATGGTTTGATGTATCCGTCTTTTCGAACTGGAGCTTAAAGACCTGGAAAGGAATCGTGCCGTCAAAGAATGGGGTTCTTACCTTGGGAGCGCTTGTCGGAGCAGGTGGACGATTCAACTGCAAATCACAGAGACAACCTTCCAGCTCAAACACTTCCTCAATTTTATCTTTCTTTCAGTTGCGCGTTGTCTCTGGCTAAATTCTCCTGAAGCTGCGTTATCTTTTCATCCAGCTGCGATGACACCTTCTCTGAAATCTGCGATGACATCTGAACCATACGTGTATCCTGTGCTTCCAGGAGGAATTACGTACGTGTTACCTGTACCTGCATCTGCAATGAAATCTGCAGCAAGCGTGTATCTAACTGGGATGAATTTGCAGCTACTAGCATGTTGATGTCCATAGTCGTAGTTGAACTAGAAGCCTTTTCTTCCACCTTCGAAGATAACTGCTCCATGTCCTTCGATGAACACATAGCCTCTTCCTTGTCTTCACCTTTCGTATGTCTCCTCGGATTCACGATAGAAGTCGTACTTATCCACGTCGATGCCTACTGCTTTCATAGCCTCTCGCAGCCGTGATGGTAACTCCACTTTTCTTCCGGAGTTGGCCAAATTACGCCTTTCCAAGTCTTGTTTGAGCTCCTCGATCTTTAGATATCGAATTTTTGCCATTTTGAGAACTTTCTCCTGTGAGTTTTATTTAACAATCCCACTTCTGACACTATGAGGTGAATAAAATTTCAGTAGCTCATAAGGCTAGTGAAATTTTTGACAAATGCATAGAAAATTCTGACAATCGCAAAGATTGTTGATGTGTGTAATTTTTCTTTAAATAAAAGCTTAAATTGATGAATTGCAATCAACGATGGCAGATGTTTTCTTAAAATATTAATTTCACTTCAATTTGTAATATTTTATTCCGCATAAATTTGCGGTTATCAAAAATTCACACAGCAGATTGGCAAAACTGTCTCACCTATGTAAAAATATTATTCCACAGCTTTCCCCATAGAACATTGTTACCGATTCGCACACGCCCTTTGAAGTNTAAATTTGCGGTTATCAAAAATTCACACAGCAGATTGGCAAAACTGTCTCCCCTATGTAAAAATATTATTCCACAGCTTTCCCCATAGAACATTGTTACCGATTCGCACACGCCCTTTGAAGTTTTTTTTTTTTTTTGCTGAGGCCTTTCGCATTTTCTTCCACTTAATACACATGACACATAGAGTTTACTGCCGCCCTTGATCAATAAGCAGCATGCTTTGTTGTTTTGTTGTTTGACACGATTATCACGAAGCTATGTATATTCGGCTGTGAAGCCAGGGCGTAACATTACTCGAACAGTAATAAATCGAGTATTTCATTAATCGATAAATTTCTTCCACAGCTGAAAATGCATCACCTTATTTTACCGGTCGTCTTCACGGGCTGGAAATCTCGCTCGCATGACAATGCATGCGAGATCCCGTACATATAGACCGAAAATGTACGAAGCATACTTTTTTTCGCATACCGAGCGGTTTGCGAGATCGCGCATACTTTCAACTATGACTTTTGTGGTTTGATAGACATTTTCTCATTTCGTAGAATTCTTCAGAGTAGAAAAATCATTTGTTTTGGTGGAAAATACAAATTTGGTCTGAAAAGCTCGAACCTTCTTTTTGTCGTCATTTTACAAATGAAAAAGTATGCTATCAAGTGCCCAGTCAACAAAACTCTATCTCGCTAGCGAGAGAAAAAACAGAACACAAGCGAGATTTGCAAGTATGTGAGGACAGCCGGTTAGGATGTATTCGTTTCTTTACGGCGCGTTTACATTGGACAATGCTGTGAAGACAATAGAGAAATACGTTTTAGTTGTCAAAAACGCTGATAATTGTCTCCGTTGTTCTTTTCTTTCTGACACAAGACGTCAAAATTATTGTCTGCATACGTCAAACTTATTGTCTGCATACGTCAAACCATTGTCCGATTTACTGTCTTCAAAATTATGAAGACATTGATTGAGACAGTTGAAGAAGAGTGCATGCTTTAGTAAAAGAGTGTGCATATATAATGTCATGACAGTATTGTCTGGTGTAAATCCTAAGTTAGCAAATTGCCATACTAAAAACATAGCGTTTCTTTCTTACAATACCAGTAAGTTTAAATTTTTACTAATAACATCTTTTGTTTTTGCATTTTTCCACCAAAACCTTAGTAAAAAATAGTTGCGATTAAAATTATCTTTAATTTCTTCATCTAACCCACCCTGTGTTTTACTGTCGCTGATGAAATGCAAATGGTAACGTCTCTGGAGGCCTTTCGTTGCAACGCTGCGATTTCATTTTGGAATGGAACACTTTTCACAACAACGGCAACACAGTCAGACATTAGACAAAAAAAAAGCGAGCGAGGTACTGAAACTGCGAAATTCTTTCATTATATTTCTTAATTTTTATTTGCAAAATGCAAAATTACGCTTGACAAAAAGTGTGAACGTGAGCGAAGAAAACGAAAGAATTTCAATTGTGGTGTGAGGAATATTGTGCGCGTGATTTCCATTCGCCAATTTTGCAATTATATTTTTCGCAGAAATAAGTGCCCCGCGACTACAGTTTGCTTTTGCTTAATTTTTTTTTTTTTATAACTAAAGTGTGCGACTACATCTTTTTTCAAATCTACAATTTAAAGCAACAAGAGCATTAAATTTGTGTGTTGTCAATTCCTCCGAGACCACCGCAAAAAACACCATCAATGAAATCGCCATATTTCATTTTTAAAATTACATGTAATTTTTGTTGAGAATTGTGTCGAACACGAAAAATCAACGAATTAGGCAGTGTTTCATACAATTTGGTCACCAATATATGGTCGGAAAAGGTTATAATTGACTACTTCCCTTTGTCTGAACTTGTGGTGAGGCAGTAAGTGCACAGCTGCGACGAATAAAAAAGTTTTGTTAAATTATTGTAATAAAATATTGAAAAGTAAACTAAATAACATAGTTAAAAGATGACTTCGACGAGCAACAAAAGTGATACACCAGCGAGCAATGGTGACAGCAACGCCGCTACGGGGAACAGCATGGCGGCAGGTAACGACAATGCAAGCTGTAGCGGCAGCATCGAAGCGGAGTACAATCGAATTGCTAATCGTCAGGGCTGGCACAGATTCTACCAGGTAAACAATAAACAAAATATGCAAGCAGTCGGGTGAATGCTCTGGTCAATTTTTATATAATTAAAAGTTAAAATGTGGCTCCATATACGCTTACCCTTGTGTCTTGAAAGAATAATCTTTCGATGGAAAACAAATTCCCATTACTATTTGTAAAATATTCATTATTGAACAAAGTTTTGTAATCGTGCAGAGAAGAGATATATAGTTATGTTAAGTGCCTTTTTCTTTTCCCCTCAGTAAATACCTTCAAATTCCCTAAATATCGTAAGATCCGTAATTTTCGAAGTTATTATATTATTAGTGGTTTTTAAACTCCGTCTTCCAATGAAATCTATCAGCAAATCAAGAAAAAGGCAAAGACAGCACTCACAAATACATTATCCACAAACCAGCTTGCATTATATATATACAAATGTGGACGTAAATATGTTTGTACACCAATCTTAGTAGTACTATTTACTTCTTTTTTACTGCTTTGCAAGTTTGTTGCTGTGATTTAGCGCTGCCGGCCACGTTCAAAGCCGTGAACGGGTATGAAATGTTTGTGTGTGTAAGAATGCTCTACGCTAAAAACAAAATCCACAATTTCTTCCTTTCGCAGGCATTTCCTGGAAACAGATGAGTACACAGGCATTAAATGTGACGTGTAAAAGCCAATGTTACAGAAAAAAACGTAGAAGACTATGAAACTGCTATGACCAGGAGCAAATAGCAGCTGCTGCAACAGACGCCACCACTTCTACACACTAACCAAAAGTTGAATCTACATACAAATTTATCTTTTGGAAATGAATCATTGCATTTGTCTGCGGTGCAAACAGACACAGCTTGTTGACGTTTTCCTTCTTAGCATGCTGGAGTAAAGAATTGTTGTAGTACATGCATATTTACATTTTTGATGCAACGAAGAAGAAAATGGGCTCAAAAAAGAGCATAAATAAACGGTATATTCACAAGATATCACTTATTAGATGAACATAATAGTCTCAATATAGTTTTTATTTCTTCGTAGCGTATTAAACAAATATATTGGAAAACTTGTATAATTGCACTAATTTAGAGCCGGCGAACCTTTACACATAAACATGCTCAATGTAGCCACGGCGTGCCAACAAGAAATCATTACTTAGCACCGTTCTTGGAGACATTTACTGACACATTATTCGTACAAAAATCTTTAAAATAATTAATTAACCGTCTCGAATATTTCTGTGTACCTTACGTGGTATGAGGTTAGGGCCCACATACATACATAGGCAGATGAATATATTGTCAAGATAGCCAACGCCAGCTTCTACAGACAGCTAATATGTCTGGTATTGAATTCAAAGTTTTTAAAATTTTAGTATTAGCTTTTTTGGCCAAATTGCCTGATGGTCTTTCTAAGTCGATTGTTCAAACTCTTTACTTGTTTCGATAAAGTTTTTATTGCAAACTCAGATAGTTGCATTCCAAAATCTTGGATTTCCAACCTTTCAAAAGCGTGAGTGAAATCTATCATAACAGTTTTATCTGCGCCTTGAAACCTTACGCTCAAATTCTATAATTTATTCNTGTCAAGATAGCCAACGCCAGCTTCTACAGACAGCTAATATGTCTGGTATTGAATTCAAAGTTTTTAAAATTTTAGTATTAGCTTTTTTGGCCAAATTGCCTGATGGTCTTTCTAAGTCGATTGTTCAAACTCTTTACTTGTTTCGATAAAGTTTTTATTGCAAACTCAGATAGTTGCATTCCAAAATCTTGGATTTCCAACCTTTCAAAAGCGTGAGTGAAATCTATCATAAAAGTTTTATTTGCGCCTTGAAACCTTACGCTCAAATTCTATAATTTATTCATTTATTTATTCAATCAAATGGAATACAAATCCTTACTGACTAAAGCAAAGGAGCATAAATACTACCTAAAGTAATTTAGCAGGACACAAATGAAGATATTGATCACATTCCGAAAGCGCATTTATCTCAGAGAGGGTTCTAAAAAGAGGCGAGAATGTCACATAGTTGGATTTCGGAAACCCCAAATAAAATAATGAAACCCGCCGCAAGTTATGAGACGGTACATTTAAATATAACTTCTCCAAAAGCGTAGAGAAATCAACAGTGCCCTACACTATTCCAGCCACAAAAGAGGCANCCCAAATAAAATAATGAAACCCGCCGCAAGTTATGAGACGGAACATTTAAAGATAACTTCTCCAAAAGCGTAGAGCAATCAACAGTGCCCTACACTATTCCAGCCACAAAAGAGGCAGCGAGGAATGAACGCCTACTATTTAATGAATTTAAGCCAAGGAGTTGACAACGAGATGCATAGGGGGGTGCATGCTCCGAAAACCTCAGGGAACGCAAGGCAAATTTGATCAAAAAAAACTTTTTGAATNTTTAGCAAAATGTTGCTGATTTTGGTTAAATAAATCATTTATTTCAAAGAAATTTTTATTTATTATTTTTGTAAATTTCTGGAAACCGATTGAAACCTGTGATTGAAATGGTTTCGGTATCGTTCCTTTTCAGGTCAAGATAACGGTTACGGTTTCGGTTTCGGTTTTGAAAAACGAAACGGTTTTAAACGGTTACGGTTTCGGTTTGGGTTTCGGTTTCATTCCTTGCTTTTAATATTAATTATATTAATTAATAAATAAGAGAGGACCCAAGATACTTCCTTGAGGGACACCCGAAGTAGCAACAAAATTATTGGAATGTATATTATCGATGGCAACTGTACAACACCTGTTGGAAAGGTAGAAACGAATTCATTCAAGGAAAAACTATAAAATTTGCAAACCATGTGTAAGCCTCAAATCTTCGAATGTCGTCATCGTCAGTAAAAGTGACGATACGGCCATCTTCAGCCATGTTACTGATGCGCTGACGATCGTCGACGATGACGATGACGATATTCAGCATAGGGCCGTATATTTGTGACTACGCCCATTATATTACAACGTAGGCGAAACCATGCTATTCACACAAAGCTAGTTAATAAATGATACGCTTGAACTGAAGAATCGAACGTATTTTGTGGATTTTGTTGGTAATTACTGTCTGTATTTTTGGCACTTCTGAGCTATTTTGTTGGGTGTGAATAGGAATTGCTTTGGTCTCCAATTCAAACGAAAAAATAAACTGTTTCGATTAGGTAGTAACTACTTTTAGTAATTGAGGAATTGGATGCTCAGTTAATACCGTGCCCAAATTATTTTGTTGCGTGCAATCAATGGCCATTGGTCGGTTAAAGCACAAGGCTATTGGCAGGTCAATTCTAAACTATGCGCACTGGTTTGGTCACCGGCATTAGTAATACGTAGTAGATAAAATTGCAGTTGCTGGAAGCGGAACCTCCGCCAGAAGTCATATAAGCTGAATGCGGAGTTCCAGAACTATAAACGACAACTACCTGATGCTTTACACACAAGCGATAAACGATATTCACATAGAGATCATAACTACTTTCATCAACTCTCGCTCCATGAATGCCATCGTCGGAGTTCAACCACCCCCCACTCAACTACCGTCTCTCTTCTTTGGTCTGACCTATTCTATACATCATGTTTCCTGGGCCTTTTAGTATGTGAGCGGGACGATAACGATTAAAGGAATATTTGCGAAAAATTAGGTAATGAAGAACCCAGAATTGGCAGGGGAAGTACGTGGCAAGCTACTTCACGTTGACGTAAATATGCCCCTTATATTGGCTTATGAAAGATTAAAGTTTCAGTCTTTTAACTGCAATATCTACGCCGAGGTTTCCACGACAGTTGGGTATACATACGTAAACGGAATGTCCCATATTTACACATGGCCAGTTTTAACAAAAGGAAGTCGAAGAAATGAGATAGCTGGCGCAATAATCAGATTTGAAACACGTTGAAACTCTTTGGTGTGATATGAAGAACTTTTTTTTTTACATTCGGTGGTTATTCTAGACCTGTGGGTCTACTCTGTATTGTGATTCGAAACTCAATCCGATTCGAAAGTCGACACGCACAAATACAAACTAATAGTGCCAAGTATTCGGATCCGAATGATTTGCTTGTCGAATCGCAATACAAAGTAGACCCCCTGAATGATAATAAAAAACGGCACATGCCAATTTAGACTTCGTAACATAAATTTTCAAGTTTAGCTTTCTATATGGAAGGAACGCTTATAAAAATAATTATTACGTCTAAAAATAAATTCCGAATTTTTATGTAAATATATGCCATTTTTATAAAACCAACTGTAAGTAAGTTAGAAGCACTTATTAACATACAATGACGTGCAAAAGTATTGCAACAGTGAATTTTTCGCAATATATGCAAAGATTTTTTTTCTAATTCGATAATTTTTTATAAAAATGTATGTAGTTCATACTACACCACAAAACAAAAGTTCATACAACAAAAAAAAAAAAATTTTTTAAATTTCTAAACTTTGTGCAAAATTCAGGAAAGTTCAATAAACTTATATACCAATTTGCCACTTTCTATTCAGATTTTAAGTATGCCGTTTTATAGCGCCTTCAATTTTAGTATAACAAAGTGTAAGTTTGAAGTTGCTAGAAAATCGCGTTGATTTTTGGCAAGTTTTTTCACGCAGGTTCTTCCATATGAAAATGAGCAACAACTTTCACTAAAAAATCTGAATAGAAAGTTGCAAATTATTATGCAATTTCATTGAATTTTCCTGAGTTTTACACAAAGTTTAGAGATTTTATTTTTATGTTTTTTGATGTAGTATGAACTATAGATATTTATATAAAAAATTAAGGAAAATAAATTAGAATAAAAAACTTTGCATATATTGCGAAATATCCACTGTGCCAATACTTTTGTTCGTCACTGTACATGGATACATTGAAGAGAATATTCAATCATCAAAATCGATTTTAAGTTTAGAAACGACAACTAATTCTACAAAAATTAAGTTATGTACATATGTGTGTATATCCACATGTGAACGTATTTGCAAAAAAAATGCACTCATACATATACATATGTATGTAAATATGTGCAT